GCAAGAATTTTGACAAGAGACCCCCTCAGAGAGGTGGCGGAGGGGGGAGACTGTATGGACTTGCTGGTGGTGGGAGAAGAGAAGAGGTGTTTAAATAAGCCTTTGGATTATGAATCATTTGTACTTCCATGAAGGGCTGTTATGCTTCCTTATTGCATGTTAATGTGAAGATAACAGTGATCGTGTTGGTTAATTAACTGCTAGCAAATAGCCTGTAATGCAATATGGGTAAACCAGGATTAAAGGATTAGTTCACTCCAGAATTAAAATTTCCTGGTAATTTACTCACCCCCATGTCATCCAAGTTGTTCGTGTCTTTCTTCAGTTAAAAAGAAATGAAGGTTTTTGAGGAAAACATTCCAGGATTTTTCACCATATGATGCATTTAAACGGGGACCAACGGGTTGAAATTACAAACTGCAGTTTCAGTGCAGCTTCAAAGGGCTCTATACAATCCCAGCCGAGGAATAAGGGTCTTATCTATTGAAATGATAGGCCATTTTCTAAAAAAGATGCATGTCCATGACTTCATGCATTATGTATTCACAAAGCAAACGTGCAAAGACTAAGTTAAACGCCCTTTACAAAAAAAAGAAAGAAAAGTAAAACAACGATGTCAGACAATTTTGAAGTTGGAGGGGAAAATGAGATGGAGTTTTTCACCCTACCCTTACCTGTTAGAACCAGAGTCGGTACTTTTGCCTATGTCGTGCATGACCTTTCCAACGTGATTATGTAATGATTGAAGTAGCAGACATGCATCGCGGAGCTGGTGCAAGATGAGAATTTGTGGTTAAAGTATATACATTTTATTTTAAATCAATTTTATTTTTTAGAAAATGACCAATTGTTTCGCTAGATAAGACCCTTATTTCTCAGCTGGGATCGTGTAGAGACCATTGAAGCTGCAATTTGGAATTTCAACCCATTGGGTCCCATTGAAGTCCGTTATATGGAGAACAATTCTGGAATGTTTTCCTCAAAAACCTTAATTTGTTTGCGACTGAAGAAAGAAAGACATGAACATCTTGAATGACATGGGGGCATATAAAATATCAGGAAGTTTTAATTCTGGAGTGAACTGATCCTTTAACTGTTGGATTCTCTCATTAGGTAGCAGAGAACTGCCGGGCAGAGTTTAGCCCGGCTCAGTTTGCTGGACCCAAAAAGATAAGTCTGAACCACCTGCTCAACTTCACGTTTGAGCCACGAGGAGGTCATTTTGGCTCCGGGGGTGATGGCCACTCCTGCTGGGGTCGCCGCAACAAGTGGGGTCACAAACACAAGCCCTTCAACAAGGAGCTTTTCCTGCAGGCTAAGTGAGTACAGCAGAATATGTTGCAAACTTTTATATGAATTTATATTAAATCACATGCAACAATAGTCTGTGTACTTCAGTGTTATGATAAGCTGATAAAAATGCCAATCTGATGAGTGTGTCTTCCTTTTGTCCACCAGTTGCCAGTTTGTGGTAATTGATGATCAGGACTATCAAGCCCACTTCACTGATCCGGACACTTTGGTGGACTGGGACTGTGTGCAACAAGTGGTCAGTTCAGACTTCTCACTTCCTTGTACATCCTGTCAGTGCCTTTTCTACAAATCTCAGCATGCTGTTTTTTTTTGTTGTTGTGTTTTTCTCGTTCAACACAGCGCATCTGCAGTCACGAGGTGCCGTCGTGTCCGATCTGCCTGTATCCCCCTGTGGCGGCCCACATCACGCGCTGCGGCCACATCTACTGTTGGCCATGCATGCTGCACTACCTCTCTCTGAGCGAGAAGAGTTGGTCCAAGTGCCCCATTTGCTATGAGGCTGTGCACAGCGCTGATCTCAAGAGGTTCGTACAGAAAACACCTGTTTATAATACTTGTTTGGTTTTTAAATTAATGTGAACTTCTTGATTTAGAAATCTGTTATTTTATTTAAATCAACCCTTGGTATATAGAAGTGCCATCATTTAGTCAAGACATTCCAGTTTGTTCACTGTTGTCACTGAAACCTGTCATCTTGCAGTGTGGTTGCCATGGAGACGCATCAATACGTGACCGGTAACGTCATCACTATGCGTCTAATGCGGAGAGAGAAAGGATCGCTGGTGGCTCTTCCCAGCTGTCAGTGGGTGAAGGTGGAA